AAGAAACCTACCGGGGAATCCAAAGGAAGGGTCCCAAAGAGGGCCCCAAAGAGGCCCTTTCTAAGTATTGCCCCTAATTTCGCGACCAACCCCTACAATATGCACATCATTGGAAAGAGCGTAATTTCCCAAACAAAAAACCCAAGTAACATTTTTCGATGGGGCCCACCTGGGGCCCACGGGACCCAATTGAAATTTGGGGCCCAATAGGGCGGCCCCTACGATTTTCTTCAAAATTTGCACAGACACTCTCCTGGGCCCCCTCTTCAATCTGGCTGAAGAAACCTACCGGGGAATCCAAAGGAAGGGGCCCAAAAAGGGCCCCAAAGAGGCCCTTTCTATGTATTGCCCCTAATTTCGCGACCAACCCCGGCAATATGCACATCATTGGAAAGAGCGTAATTTCCCAAACAAAAAACCCAAGTAACATTTTTCGATGGGGCCCACCTGGGGCCCACGGGACCCTATTGAAATTTGGGGCCCAATGGGGCGGCCCCTACGATTTTCTTCAAAATTTGCACAGACACTCTCCTGGGCCCCCTCTTCAATCTGGCTGAAGAAACCTACCGGGGAATCCAAAGGAAGGGGCCCAAAGAGGGCCCCAAAGAGGCCCTTTCTAAGTATTGCCCCTAATTTCGCGACCAACCCCGGCAATATGCACATCATTGGAAAGAGCGTAATTTCCCAAACAAAAAACCCAAGTAACATTTTTCGATGGGGCCCACCTGGGGCCCACGGGACCCAATTGAAATTTGGGGCCCAATGGGGCGGCCCCTACGATTTTCTTCAAAATTTGCACAGACACTCTCCTGGGCCCCCTCTTCAATCTGGCTGAAGAAACCTACCGGGGAATCCAAAGGAAGGGGCCCAAAGAGGCCCCCAAAGAGGCCCTTTCTAAGTATTGCCCCTAATTTCGCGACCAACCCCGGCAATATGCACATCATTGGAAAGAGGGTAATTTCCCAAACAAAAAACCCAAGTAACATTTTTCGATGGGGCCCACCTGTGGCCCACGGGACCCAATTGAAATTTGGGGCCCAATGGGGCGGCCCCTACGATTTTCTTCAAAATTTGCACAGACACTCTCCTGGGCCCCCTCTTCAATCTGGCTGAAGAAACCTACCGGGGAATCCAAAGGAAGGGGCCCAAAGAGGCCCCCAAAGAGGCCCTTTCTAAGTATTGCCCCTAATTTCGCGACCAACCCCGGCAATATGCACATCATTGGAAAGAGGGTAATTTCCCAAACAAAAAACATACGTAACATTTTTCGATGGGGCCCACCTGGGGCCCACGGGACCCAATTGAAATTTGGGGCCCAATGGGGCGGCCCCTACGATTTTCTTCAAAATTTGCACAGACACTCTCCTGGGCCCCCTCTTCAATCTGGCTGAAGAAACCTACCGGGGAATCCAAAGGAAGGGGCCCAAAGAGGGCCCCAAAGAGGCCCTTTCTAAGTATTGCCCCTAATTTCGCAACCAACCCCGGCAATATTCACATCATTGGAAAGAGCGTAATTTCCCAAACAAAAAACCCAAGTAACATTTTTCGATGGGGCCCACCTGGGGCCCACGGGACCCAATTGAAATTTGGGACCCAATGGGGCGGCCCCTACGATTTTCTTCAAAATTTGCACAGACACTCTCCTGGGCCCCCTCTTCAATCTGGCTGAAGAAACCTACCGGGGAATCCAAAGAAAGGGGCCCAAAGAGGGCCCCAAAGAGGCCCTTTCTAAGTATTGCCCCTAATTTCGCGACCAACCCCGGCAATATGCACATCATTGGAAAGAGCGTAATTTCCCAAACAAAAAACCCAAGTAACATTTTTCGATGGGGCCCACCTGGGGCCCACGTAACCCAATTGAAATTTGGGGCCCAATGGGGCGGCCCCTACGATTTTCTTCAAAATTTGCATCGAAAAATGTTACTTGGGTTTTTTGTTTGGGAAATTACGCTCTTTCCAATGATGTGCATATTGCCGGGGTTGGTCGCGAAATTAGGGGCAATACTTAGAAAGGGCCTCTTTGGGGCCCTCTTTGGGCCCCTTCCTTTGGATTCCCCGGTAGGTTTCTTCAGCCAGATTGAAGAGGGGGCCCAGGAGAGTGTCTGTGCAAATTTTGAAGAAAATCGTAGGGGCCGCCCCATTGGGCACCAAATTTCAATTGGGTCCTGTGGGCCCCAGGTGGGCCCCATCGAAAAATGTTACTTGGATTTTTTGTTTGGGAAATTACGTTCTTTCCAATGATGTGCATATTGCCGGGGTTGGTCGCGATATTAGGGGCAATACTTAGAAAGGGCCTCTTTGGGGCCCTCTTTGGGCCCCTTCCTTTGGATTCCCCGGTAGGTTTCTTCAGCCAGATTGAAGAGGGGGCCCAGGAGAGTGTCTGTGCAAATTTTGAAGAAAATCGTAGGGGCCGCCCCATTGGGCCCCAGGTGGGCCCCATCGAAAAATGTTACTTGGGGTTTTTGTTTGGGAAATTACGCTCTTTCCAATGATGTGCATATTGCCGGGGTTGGTCGCGAAATTAGGGGCAATACTTAGAAAGGGCCTCTTTGGGGCTCTCTTTGGGCCCCTTCCTTTGGATTCCCCGGTAGGTTTCTTCAGCCAGATTGAAGAGGGGGCCCAGGAGAGTGTCTGTGCAAATTTTGAAGAAAATCGTAGGGGCCGCCCCATTGGGCCCCAAATTTCAATTGGGTCCCGTGGGCCCCAGGTGGGCCCCATCGAAAAATGTTACTTGGGTTTTTTGTTTGGGAAATTACGCTCTTTCCAATGATGTGCATATTGCCGGGGTTGGTCGCGAAATTAGGGGCAATACTTAGAAAGGGCCTCTTTGGGGCCCTCTTTGGGCCCCTTCCTTTGGATTCCCCGGTAGGTTTCTTCAGCCAGATTGAAGAGGGGGCCCAGGAGAGTGTCTGTGCAAATTTTGAAGAAAATCGTAGGGGCCGCCCCATTGGGCCCCAAATTTCAATTGGGTCCTGTGGGCCCCAGGTGGGCCCCATCGAAAAATGTTACTTGGATTTTTTGTTTGGGAAATTACGTTCTTTCCAATGATGTGCATATTGCCGGGGTTGGTCGCGAAATTAGGGGCAATACTTAGAAAGGGCCTCTTTGGGGCCCTCTTTGGGCCCCTTCCTTTGGATTCCCCGGTAGGTTTCTTCAGCCAGATTGAAGAGGGGGCCCAGGAGAGTGTCTGTGCAAATTTTGAAGAAAATCGTAGGGGCCGCCCCATTGGGCCCCAAATTTCAATTGGGTCCCGTGGGCCCCAGGTGGGCCCCATCGAAAAATGTTACTTGGGGTTTTTGTTTGGGAAATTACGCTCTTTCCAATGATGTGCATATTGCCGGGGTTGGTCGCGAAATTAGGGGCAATACTTAGAAAGGGCCTCTTTGGGGCCCTCTTTGGGCCCTTCCTTTGGATTCCCCGGTAGGTTTCTTCAGCCAGATTGAAGAGGGGGCCCAGGAGAGTGTCTGTGCAAATTTTGAAGAAAATCGTAGGGGCCGCCCCATTGGGCCCCAAATTTCAATTGGGTCCCGTGGGCCCCAGGTGGGCCCCATCGAAAAATGTTACTTGGGTTTTTTGTTTGGGAAATTACACTCTTTCCAATGATGTGCATATTGCCGGGGTTGGTCGCGAAATTAGGGGCAATACTTAGAAAGGGCCTCTTTGGGGCCCTCTTTGGGCCCCTTCCTTTGGATTCCCCGGTAGGTTTCTTCAGCCAGATTGAAGAGGGGGCCCAGGAGAGTGTCTGTGCAAATTTTGAAGAAAATCGTAGGGGCCGCCCCATTGGGCCCCAAATTTCAATTGGGTCCTGTGGGCCCCAGGTGGGCCCCATCGAAAAATGTTACTTGGATTTTTTGTTTGGGAAATTACGTTCTTTCCAATGATGTGCATATTGCCGGGGTTGGTCGCGATATTAGGGGCAATACTTAGAAAGGGCCTCTTTGGGGCCCTCTTTGGGCCCCTTCCTTTGGATTCCCCGGTAGGTTTCTTCAGCCAGATTGAAGAGGGGGCCCAGGAGAGTGTCTGTGCAAATTTTGAAGAAAATCGTAGGGGCCGCCCCATTGGGCCCCAAATTTCAATTGGGTCCCGTGGGCCCCAGGTGGGCCCCATCGAAAAATGTTACTTGTGGTTTTTGTTTGGGAAATTACGCTCTTTCCAATGATGTGCATATTGCCGGGGTTGGTCGCGAAATTAGGGGCAATACTTAGAAAGGGCCTCTTTGGGGCCCTCTTTGGGCCCCTTCCTTTGGATTCCCCGGTAGGTTTCTTCAGCCAGATTGAAGAGGGGGCCCAGGAGAGTGTCTGTGCAAATTTTGAAGAAAATCGTAGGGGCCGCCCCATTGGGCCCCAAATTTCAATTGGGTCCCGTGGGCCCCAGGTGGGCCCCATCGAAAAATGTTACTTGGGTTTTTTGTTTGGGAAATTACGCTTTTTCCAATGATGTGCATATTGCTGGATTTTGTCGATGTTATAGGCCTGAAATTGTTGAAAACGTTTATTTATGCCCCGAGGGCATACTCCCGGGCCCATATATTTGAAGCTGTTTTGTTCGGTTCAGGGGGGCGCTAGCCCCCTAAATTTGATACCGTTGCATGTAAAATTTTGTCCTCTTTCGAATGACGTGCATTTTTAGCTGTTTTGACGGCTAGAAGTAGGGTTTTCAAAGTTCGTCGATTGTGCCCTGAGGGCATACTGTTTTTTGGGATTTGTGGCCCCCCTGATGGATTCCCCGCATTTTGGCACTAGGATTTTCGATAGAGGACACCATTCTGCACCTCTCCACCAAAATTCAGCGAAATCGTAGGGGCCGTCGATCCCTGCTGAATCCCTGCTGAACCCCTGCTGAATCCCTGCTAACTTCCGTTACATGGAATTTTCTTAGGCTATTTCACAGCTTTCAAAAATGTCTGTACTTTAAGATAGCTTGTTTTGCCCGCGAAACAGAATCGTGAAAGCGTGACAAAATAGAACGACGCTAGACGATGTGCAGCGGTCCTACCAAATAAGGTACGTAAATATTTCTTATTTGTAATTTATTTTTGTGTCTAACTTAAAAATAAATCAGATAAAATTGATCGGCTCACTTTCGTCTGATAGAGAAGTGCATTTTATTTGTGCTTTTGCTTATTCAGTGACAAGGTAAAGCAGCATCACGACGGCTATAGGGCCTTGACGACAGCAGTCAAAATTAAAAAAAAATTGAAGTTAAATGATTCTAAGTTCTAACATGCTTTTGCAAAATGATAGCTTGAATCCTTACCTTTACACATAAGCAAGCATGATGATTTATAGCAGGAAGTGTGCCTTTTTTATATGAGCAGATAGTTTCGGGCTTATTGACAGCTCGGCACTGGCTTAACTCTCAATGACCTCAATTTGACCACTTAGATAGTCAGCTCTGGCTCCCATAATCTACATTGCATGATTTTGCACAAAGTTGATCGCATTATTATCTTGATTGGCTCTTTTGATAATCGATAAAAACACCAATTAAAATAGTTGCGATTCATAGATCTGTGCAGTGGTGGGAACTGGGAAGAGCCTACAAGTCATCAGGCTGGAAACTTCACTAAGAGGCCGTTATTATAAAACAAAATCTGAGCCTGCTGCAAAAGAAGACAGAGGAAGTATTTTCATTAAGCATACATGTAGTTTTATAGTAATAAGCTGTTTTGTTTTGCTCAATATTTATTTGCAGCAGATGGCCAAATTTCATTTTATTATATTTTCATATTTCATTTTATAATAAGTATGACAGAGTTCAGTGCACTGCAGCTGATCCCAATAACCAAGCAGATGATGCCTCAGTAGGCTCATGTGCTGCGTGGCTGGAGCAACCCAAACCTAGCACTTTCAATGTCAGGAATTCTGTGTTCTACCAGTGAGGCACAGAACTGGAAAGACAACCCCCAACCCCTTGGATAACTTGCCATAATGAACAAATTAATAGTGACTTCTTGTTTCAGGTCACAATGAATGAGAGCCGAACCAGTGTTATAAGCGCTCGACCTGTGCCAGTGTTTGAAAATGCAGTTGAAGGATTATTCAGCACTAAAAAGGTAATAAATCTGACTGACTGCCTGGTAATGCAGCAGTATCATAAGCATCAATTCATTTGTAAACATACTAATGAATTATAGCTACCTTCCACTTTCTTACTTTTATTTGTTTAAGAAAAGAATTTTTGGGCTGAGTATATTTTGTCACTTCTAAGCACCTATCTCATAGTTGTTCATGAGGTCCTTGAGTGTCAATTATTCTTAACGTCAAGTTCTCATAAACTTGTGGATTGGATTGCTGTATCATCATACAGGATTTGGTGGTAGATGATATTTGTAGCTCATTTCCTTTTTCATTTCATGCTACACATGCACTCTCTCCGATCTGACCAAACCACGAGCCATGACCCTATTTGTCCCTCTTGTCTACCAGGCCCGGGCGCAGACGGAGCGCAAGTACCGCCCGCCGCCGCCGCCCCACCCGGCACGGGTCCGCAGCACTCTGAGCCGCCGCCGCGTCCGCTCCTGCCTGCCCGAGGCCGGCGCGGTGGCTGTCTCATTTCGTGACCACTCCGACTCGTGTAGGTGACTGAGAAGGAATACCTATCGGTGTTCAGGTAAAGTCGAAAGACTTGGATTAACATAAAAAATAAGCATTTGCTTTACTGTGACAAGTCATATACATTTGCAGCTTTGTACCATAGAGCTATGTCCGTTGTTGCTCGTCCTCACTTGTGTGCATAGAACGAGTCAATGAGAACAATGATTTTTGTGGAGTTCTACAAGTGCATGTTTTGCCTATGTTCCTCACTTCTTTCAAACTCAAGCCTACCATTTTCTGTACCTCCTTGAACCCTTCGGTCATCGTCCTGTTAAACACCGACGGATCGACCTATTAACACAACTTCCTCCGTCCGACAGCGGTCCTCACCAACAGTCTGTACAACACGGCCGACCAGCTCACCTACCTGGACCAGTGCTTCGACGAGAAGCGGCTGATCGGCTCCGGCTGCTTCGGCGAGGTGTTCAGCGCCCGCAGTAGGATCGATGGGCGCATGTACGCCATCAAAAAGTCCCGACAGCGCTTCAGGAGCGACGCCGACCGGTAAGGTTCAGGGGATGGGGCGGAGAAGCTAGCGTGGTGCTGAGATACGGCGGTTTTTAGATGATCGATATGACGTAATTCCTTTTCAGATGAATAACAATCTGCTCAAAATGAGAAATTACTGCTATTCTCCGTCACTTTGTTCCAGTCGACCAGTTTGTATGACATGCGCCGCTCACCCCTCCCTTCCGTACTGCAGCCGGCGGCGTCTGGAGGAGGTGCGAAAACACGAGCGCCTGCCGCCACACCGTCACTGCGTGGCGTTCCACGGCGCCTGGGAGGAGCGCGACCACCTGTACCTGCAGACAGAGCTGTGCGCCACCTCGCTGGCTGATGTGGCCGACACGGAGCACAGCATACCCGAGTCCACCGTGTGGGCCTACATGGTCGACCTGCTGCTGGTGAGTACCTATTTTGACGGTGAAGGGGAGAGGTTAGACAGACTGTTGATCTGTGAGCTAATGCCTTTGCCTGGAAATAGTTTGTGTGTATTTTTAAGTACTCGTAATTTTTTAGTCCTTTTCGTTTAGCTTCTCTTTGTTTCCATTTTTCGAACGATTTAATGTGGTTTGGAGTTAGCATTTCGGATGCTTTTGACTTAATATTTTTGTTTTGTAAGCAGGCGAACTCTCTTAATTGTTCTAGCCCGCACTTGTTCATACAAGGTCATATGATTCCTTGAACACATATTTCATGACCTTGTTTGATCGCTGATCTCGCTCTCAGGCTATCAAACACCTGCACGACAATCAGCTGGTTCACCTCGACATCAAGCCGGAGAACATCTTCGTGATGCGCGAGGGCTACTGCAAGCTGGGTGACTTCGGGCTCGTCATGGACCTCTCCGGCTCGGTGAGTTATTTCCACCGCTAACGGCTGTATTTGTGAAGTGTTTTAAGTGGTGGCAGCGTTTGCCGTTTCCACACTTGTCTCGCTGTTTTTGTAGCCACAATGACAGGTAGCTCGTCGTCTCACCGCTCTTCTCCCGCAGCGTGACCTGGACGACTCGGACGCCATGGAGGGCGACCCCAAGTACATGGCGCCCGAGCTGATGACGGGCCGGTTCTCCGCCGCCGCCGACGTCTTCTCGCTCGGCCTGACGCTGCTGGAGCTGGCCTGCGACCTGGAGCTGCCGGCCGGCGCGGCCGGCTGGCACCAGCTCCGCTCTGGCCAGGTGCCGGCGCCGCTGCGGCGCACCCTCTCCCCGGCACTGCGACACGTCCTGGAGAGGATGCTGCACCCGGACCCGGCGCGGCGAGCCACGGCCGCTGAGCTGCTGCGGCTGCCGGCGGTGCGCGCGGCGCGCCGCAAGAGGCAGCTGACCATCCTCTGCTGCACCGCGGTGAGTCTCGCAGAGGGGACAGGGGAGGGAGGGAGGGAGAGAGGGACGTGGTAGATGTTGGGTTGGGGATGATGAGTCGGGAGCCGAGACTGATAAATGCTAGTGTTGCCATATTCTCCATGCTTTGTCTTAATACGTCCTAAACAATGAACATTGACTTATCACATTTAAAGTCAAAATATCTCTGTATCGGTGCAGGCAAGCTAATGACACTTTGCACTTTTGACCTTTGAGCCATTTCCGATGCTTCCCGCTCTGGCTTTGCCTGTCTGCGTTCTTTCTCACATCCTTGTTGGGTGGTTCCGTTGTATGTAGTCCTTCGTTGCCAGCTGACCCGCTGTCTATATCCCCGTCCCCAGATCAGCACACTCCGCGCAGTGCTGTCGCGGCTGGGCGCCAGTCTGGTGGCCAGTCTGGTGTTCGCTCTGTGGCTGCTCTGCTGGCCCGTCCGCTGTGTCACTCACTCGGCACCCGGTGACTCGCCCCTACAGCCGGCACCGGTGGCAGGCACGACCGACGGACCCACGCCCCAGTCCAACGGAACGCCGGCTGCCTGGCTCGAACCCGCCTACAGCGATGATGGTGAGTGCGGTGACGTGGCACGATGCCGATGGAGTGCAGCAATTATCCCATGTAACATCAGGCATCGGTGGTTTTTGTTGGTAATGTAGGGCTGTAACCATTTTTGTCCATTCACATTTATATAACTATCTCAATCATTGACGCATGCATGTAGATAATGCGTTCCCCTCGCCAGACCATTTGCGTTGTGTTTTATTGATGTCATGCTCGTATACAGCTCATTCTGCCGTGTTGGCTTCCCACGCGGTTTGGTTTGGTGTCCCCTATGACGCTAGATTGGTGCTATCGGTGTAGTTAGGCCACTATAAACCATCGCCACCCTTTGATGTTCGTCCATTCATTGTCTACTGATGATGTGGGCCGGCTGTATGAGTAACGTCAGTAACGTACTCTAATGACGTGGTAGGGTAGTAGCGTCACATGCATCAGTTTGTGTAGCTGTGCGAGTTACATGAGTTGGCCGGGGCTGACCGTGGGAGTCTGTGACTGAGTCCAGTACCAGGTGTTGTGAGTTGTGACTGTGATTACTGGTTGGCATAGGTACCGAACTGTGACGTGATATCAGCTACCTTCGGTATACTGTGATATAATATAACCATATAAACTAACGTCAGTCTCAGTACCGATGATGATGACCGTATACCAGCTAACGTCAATAGTGTATGACGTTTATTTGCCTGACACCAGCTGCGATTTTCCACCCCTCAGAGGACCCGCTGAATATGACGGGCGACAGTCTACAATCTGAACTCGGTCTGCTCAGCTCCACGCCCGAGCGGGTCCCCGGCTCAGCTGCCTCCGCCGCGCGTCATCAGATGAGCCTGAGAAGGGTGCTGCTCTTCAACGATGACCAGTGAGTGACGGGGCTTGGGACGTCAGCTGAGCCACCTGTGCGGTGTGTATGTGATAGAAATGGTGAGGTGCTAAGGGGCATGTCGGTTGCGCTAACGTAGGTAACTATTGACACTGATAACAACAGGCTGTGTGCAGTGTGATCCGACTTAAAGCTTGTTGCAGATCTTTGGGGTCCTGCAGGCGTCTGAGGGGTTGCGGAGGCGAAAAGCTGAGGTTTTGTGGCTTGTTCAATTAGTGCGGTTTAGGATTTGATGGCTTACCCTGTGTTGGCGGTCATTATGAATATGATTAGCAGGCATAATTGGATGAGTTTGGCGTTCACCATTTATTCGAACTTCTGGCATTAGCTTTTATATTCTGTTCGGCGTCATGCCTCTTTGATAGCATCAATCAAATGATTACTCTCATTTAGGTACACTATTTAGGAATTACTGCTTGGCGTTTGTCAGTGTGAAAAGTACGTCTGCTCTCCTTCCCGCAGGGACGAGGCGGAGGACCCTGTACCGGTGCCTGCAGCGCCTCCCAGCGGTCGGCGCCTCCGGAGGCCGGCAGGCGGCGCCACCGGCGGCGGAGGAGACAGCAGTCCAGTGTCCCGCCGGCGCCACATGCCCCGGCCGCGAGCGCTCGGGTCGCTGCGCGGTGTCCAACAGAAGCTCGACTTCCAGGCGGCTCGGCTGAGCGATGACGATTGAACGCCGCTTGGCGGAGCTCTCTGAGGGACCAGAGAGACCCGAGACCGGTGGGACCGTCATCCCGGCTTCTACGTCAGTCCTAGGTGGGACCAGCGGCACCCAGGCACAGGACGGGGAGCGAGAGCCCTCCCCGCCGCCTGCCACTAACCAAAACACTGTACATAGAACCAGAGAGTATTGTATAAAAGTGCGTCGATGTGAACCTGAAGTGCCCCTACGGACCGCGGTGAGTTCACCGTCCGTCAGAACGCCCCTCGTGTCGCTGTGGAGAGGCCCAGTGGGTGTGTCTGAATGTCCGATAAGGACGGAGGCCAGCAGAACATAGCAACACTCGCCACAATCAGAGAAGAGGGGGGGGGGGGGTGGAGAGTTGTGCCGGTACCAAATCAGGGTGACTGTCACGGCGTCGGCCGGCCGCGCCGAGAGATGTGTGTCCACCCCGAGCGGAGGACAAGGCTGTGTATTTGAACGGGATGAATCGCGTATGTCACTAAGGTTGTCTGTTGTGTGTGTATATTGTCGGTGCACTGTCTGCATCATGCCGTAGCCCACTCACTGATAGCAATACCGTTGAGACCAGGAGTATTTTATTTAATCCCGATTATGATTTGAGCGCGGCTGCGAGCGTAGGGAATGTCGGCGGTCAGTTGTCTTCCGTAACAAGCTTCCAACACCACTCATCGTTGAGCGATGGCACACGGGCGGTCGTGCCTCTTGCATAGTGCGTAACTTCCTCACACATCGCCTCAATACAGTGGGATAATGAACGGATAAAACGTGTCGCAAATCTTACAAACACATGACACATCGTGACAAAGTAGATCAATCTAAAACAAGTGTGCACCATTCTATTGAAAGATGAGTTGATATAAAATATTTGTTAACCGTCATGGGTGGAATATAACAGCAAGACCAACCAGTGCATTTCATCAAAACACAACCTCATAATTACGTCTTAGGAGGATGAACAAGTTCCTGTATGGCAAACGGCGGCCTGAGAAAACAGCGGCCACGTATTTTGTTCCCGCCACCTGAGTTGACCCGGGGTCAGGTCATGGTCTATGGGTCGCCGAAGAGTCCACTGGAGCGGCGGGCCCCTAGAGTCGGCACCGTCACTTGGACAGCTTGGCCACCAGGTTGCTGGCCAGCTTGTCGAGGAACTCGAACGTGTTGAGGTAGTCGCCGCGGGTGACGCTGGCGGAGAACGAAAACGACGTGTCACACGATAACTATCTTATCGCATCACATGTACCCACAGAGCTTCAAACGAGCAAGGAGGCCGCTCCAAAACAACACTAAAACCGCCTCATTCAACGAGATGATGATGACGAACAAGACTAGACGATTTATTCTATTCCGGCTCAATAATCGTCAAGCAAACACTTGACTTAAAACATTAAAACTTCGAGCTGATCAACTCACTAGCTTCTCCATATTTTGATTGTTCACTCACTTGGCCATGCCCTTAATGCAGATGGCCAGATCTTTGGTCATGTGGCCGGCCTCGATGGTCTCAATGCAGACGGCCTCCAGGGCGCGGCAGAAGTCGCCCAGCCGCGGGTTGTCGTCCAGCTTGGCACGGTGCAGCAGGCCGCGGGTCCACGCGAAAATGGACGCTGCAGGACGCGGCGGGGAGCGTCACAGGTGGGGGAGGACCAGGGCGTATCGTCACGTCGATCGTGGCCGTGGGATATCAATGGGAGATCTCTAGACACTTGGGTAACGGTCGTGGTGTATCGGGACAACGGAACCGCGACGTGAACATGCGAGAGAGAAAAAAAAAGAACGCACAAGGCGACGGGTATCTTCGCAATCACGGATGGCGTAGTTTCACATTCCATCACATTACTCAAGACGTCGTAGGTTTTCGCAAAACAAATCGCAAATGCTACATGAAAAAGCCGGTACACCACGACTCATTCAAAAATGTGGAAACCATGAACCGTAACTCGTAAGCAACCCCTAGGAAGGGAATGATACCTCCCATGGACCACAGCGGGCGTTGTCGGGCAGCCCTCGTCGATGGGGTTGGTAGACACCGACAGAGGTAACTCACCGATGGGGTTGGTGGACGTCTCGTTGCCCTTCTGGTGCTGCCGGTAGTGCCGGGTGACGGCACTATCGGTGTTAATTACTCACCGATGGGGTTGGTGGACGTCTCGTTGCCCTTCTGGTGCTGCCGGTAGTGCCGGGTGACGGCACTATCGGTGTTAATTACTCACCGATGGGGTTGGTGGACGTCTCGTTGCCCTTCTGGTGCTGCCGGTAGTGCCGGGTCACGGGGTAGGCTCACCGATGGGGATTCACTCACCGATGGGGTTGGTGGACGTCTCGTTGCCCTTCTGGTGCTGCCGGTAGTGCCGGGTGACGGGGTAGGCTCACCGATGGGTTTCACTCACCGATGGGGTTTGTGGACGTCTCGTTGCCCTTCTGGTGCTGCCGGTAGTGCCGGTTCACAGGGTTTCACTCACCGATGGGGTTGGTGGACGTCTCGTTGCCCTTCTGGTGCTGCCGGTAGTGCCGGGTGACGGCACTATCGGTGTTAATTACTCACCGATGGGGTTGGTGGACGTCTCGTTGGCCTTCTGGTGCTGCCGGTAGTGCCGGGTCACAGGGTTTCACTCACCGATGGGGTTTGTGGACGTCTCGTTGCCCTTCTGGTGCTGCCGGTAGTGCCGGGTCACAGGGTTTCACTCACCGATGGGGTTGGTGGACGTCTCGTTGCCCTTCTGGTGCTGCCGGTAGTGCCGGGTGACGGGGTAGGCTCACCGATGGGTTTCACTCACCGATGGGGTTGGTGGACGTCTCGTTGCCCTTCTGGTGCTGCCGGTAGTGCCGGGTGACGGGGTTTCACTCACCGATTGGGTTGGTGGACGTCTCGTTGCCCTTCTGGTGCTGCCGGTAGTGCCGGGTGACGGGGTAGGCTCACCGATGGGTTTCACTCACCGATGGGGTTGGTGGACGTCTCGTTGCCCTTCTGGTGCTGCCGGTAGTGCCGGGTGACGGGGTAGGCTCACCGATGGGTTTCACTCACCGATGGGGTTGGTGGACGTCTCGTTGCCCTTCTGGTGCTGCCAGTAGTGCCGGGTGACGGGGTAGGCTCACCGATGGGTTTCACTCACCGATGGGGTTGGTGGACGTTTCGTTGCCCTTCTGGTGCTGCCGGTAGTGCCGGGTCACCGGGTTTCACTCACCGATGGGGTTGGTGGACGTCTCGTTGCCCTTCTGGTGCTGCCGGTAGTGCCGGGTGACGGGGTCGGCTCACCGATGGGTTTCACTCACCGATGGGGTTGGTGGACGTCTCGTTGCCCTTCTGGTGCTGCCGGTAGTGCCGGGTGACGGGGTCGGCTCACCGATGGGGTTTCACTCACCGATGGGGTTGGTGGACGTCTCGTTGCCCTTCCGGTGCTGCCGGTAGTGCCGGGTGACAGGGTTTCACTCACCGATGGGGTTGGTGGACGTCTCGTTGCCCTTCTGGTGCTGCCGGTAGTGCCGGGTGACGGGGTAGGCTCACCGATGGGGTTTCACTCACCGATGGGGTTGGTGGACGTCTCGTTGCCCTTCTGGTGCTGCCGGTAGTGCCGGGTGACGGTGCCGTGGGCCGCCTCAGACTCCACCGTCCGGCCGTCCGGACAGATCAGCACCGAGGTCATCATGCCCAGGGAGCCTGTGGCAAGGGTCAGGTTAGATCACCGAGGTCATCATGCCCAAGGAGCCTGTGACATGGAGTCAGGTCAGGACATTATATCCAGGGAACCTGTGACAGGGGGTCAGAGAGCTCCTCAACTGGCCTCATTAGCATAGTGTACCTGCAGATGTAAGTACATGTGCCAAGGTAGATGACAGAAAGCCAGAAGAAAAACTCGTCGCCGCTTTGCTCGCCATCCCGCATATAATTCTGGACACCCTGTTACTAGGCACGCTAGACAAGCCAGCCGACGAGTTTTTACACAACCCGGTAACCGGCCGAGATCGTACACTGGCTTCATCGAGCTACAGTTTAAATCCGAGAGTCGCGACTACGTGGCCGAGTGGAAATTTTCCGAACAGTACTGGAGGAAGCGTCGGTAGTGGAAATTTCCACCCTGTATCCTCTATCGTGGGGCCTGTATGCCAGTGTCTGAGAATGTGCAGGCGGGGCGCGATCCATTGCTGAAGTGAATAGCCACGTTGAACTCAATCCATTAGTTGTTAATAGGTCAACTGGCTTATTGATATTGCAGGGACAAGGTCATTATGAGCTCCGTTCAGTAAATAGAAGAGCAAACGTTCGTTAGCATACCAGCGAAGATCCCGCTCGGCAGTCTTGATGCGCGTATTCACCACACAAAAAAATGCACCGTCATTGTTTAACATCGTTTATCTAACGCTGCAGCGTACGGTCTAAAGTCGAAAGCTCAGCGGGTGTAAAAACGTACGGCAAGAGATCCTGCCTGATTCACACCAATGTATACAGTAGTTCAAAGAGAAGTATTGAGAACGAAAACCACCACCCATGCCTAAAAAACTACCCCTGCCCCAACCACCCCGAAAACAGCACGTCGACTTAAAACAACCCTGAACTCACCATATCCCTGCGCGACAGAGTCGCTCTGCACGTCTCCGTCGTAGTTTTTGCACGCCCAGACGAAGCCGCCCTCGGACTTCATGGCGTAGGCGACCATGTCGTCGATGAGACGGTGCTCGTACCAGATACCGGCGGCCTCATACTGGGGACGGTACTGCCTGAAGGGGGAGGAGGGAGATGTCAGTGATAGGAGAGGGGAGATCAACTGGTCCCGTTGTCACTTGATCATCATTATATTTAGTTAGATTGGAACAGCGTGTACACTGTACAGTGACATATTATTTGCGAAGCTTCATATCCACTATAATGGCTTCGGTCGGTAGTAACAATGGCCAGGAGGGGGAGGGAGAGACAGAAGGGAGGCGGGGCGGCCACAGGTGGTGGTCCGATGCAGCCCCACAACTGCACAGCGCGGTTCATCGCCCTTCCCCTCCCACGCGTTGGGGCCAGCGGGCACACTGTCCGTGGAGGAAGCACAGGGGTAGGGTGTTACACAAGGGTACTGGTGTTACACAGCTACGCGATATCGACCCGGCCCCGTCCGTGGTACAGACGGCCTCAGTGGCTGCGTGCCAGGTATCCACGTGTAAAAACAAACAAAGCCAGCCCCGACGGCACCAGACCACGAGATGGCGCATAACACATGCACACAGACAGGCCAGCCAGCCACTCTCCGGGCGGGATAACGGTCAAGTGGAGGGTGGGGCGAGATAGCGTACCGCCCTCATGAGTCATGACCCGTGTCATACTGGCCATCCGCTAGCAGGGAACCAGGCAGTAACTGTGCAACCGGTGATTTACGATGTTCGCAGGATGATCAGGAATGTTTGCAAAATGGGTCAACTATAGAGACTGATAAAACGCGTCACTCTGTCCTATGTGACGCTATGGTAAATGTTGACAAAGTCAGTGGAGAACACCGAGATAAGCGTAGCGTAGGCTGTAGGCTATAACAGGCTACGCAAAAATAGCGCACAAATTACGCGTATACATATGGAGACCGCGCCAGGCGCAAATTTACCGGTTAATTAGGCTGTCGCCTAGCCCGGCATCCCTATAACTAGACCAGACGACGAATCTGTCGCCAACCAACCGCAGCCCATCCACGTACGACGCACACGGCGCGGGGTTTATTATTTCACAACGGGGTCAACGTAACTATGCGAAATGGCAGCCGGGACACAAACTATGATCCCTGAACCCAGGAGA